TCAGAACTTTTCGGCATTTTAACTTAATATAACATATGTGTTGAAACTGGATTTATTATAGATTAACCGAAGATAAATTTCGGTTAAAGCAGACCACCAATAATAGGTTCATATTTTTATAAATGATATTTTTTTTTAGTGAAATATGAGAGTTAATCATGGCTCATTAAAACACTTTTATATCAGCAATTTGGGTGAGACGGATTTGTTGATATCGCATTAATCACGTTACTTACTGCACCATATGGTACTGTATCGTCATCCACATGTTAATAATAATAATAGATTTATTTATTGAGCAATTTTACAAATTCCTTTTGCATATTTTGTTAATGTGATGTTCGTTAGCGAACCTCCTTTTCAGGACTAGTGTGAATATATGATGGGAGACACCTCCCAATAAAGGCACTCCTAACGTGACTGTTCTTAATGCAGCAGATTCCTGCGCCTGAGGCTTTTAAGTCTCCTGGTTAGATTCTGTGGTAGTCTGCCTGTTAGTAATGTTTGCACAAGTGGATTAGGATATTCAACCAAGGAATTATGAAATGATTTTTTGGTTATGTAGAAGGGACAATGAGTGATGTACTATGGATAAATTTAGACTGGAAGATTTGAATAGTCAGTAGGTGTGTTTTTTTTTTGCAAAAGCCCCATGTCTAGGAGGCATACGTCAATATTGGTCTGAGTCGCATGTTGTACATAATATTGTTAAGAAGCGATTATGTATGATAAAGTGATATTGTTTTTATGGTGTAGCATTCGTCTTAATAGTGACAATCGATGGTTCAATCTCTTTTTTAATGTAGTCACGTGTAATTTCCAGGTCCGTCGTCTGTCTATTGTTAGTGCCAAATCTTTTCTCTCTGTGTGATTTGGCAAAGGGATGCTACAAAGGAATAGTGAAGGGCAATCCGAACGTTTAAGTGTAAATGTAACTTGATTTGATTTTTGTATGTTAATTTTTGTGGAAAATTTGTCAAGCCAGTCTTATCGAAGATTTAAATAAATCTGTACATTTTAGGTTGCTGCGATCGGATTACCGTCAGTCAAGAGTGTGAAATGTCGTCTGCATAAGTTGCGAATAATGTTCCTGGCGTCTGTGGAATATCATAAGAAAAAACAGAGTACAGAACTGGACCTAAAATACTGCCCTGCGTTAGTCCTGCACCGATTCGGCAATAGTCGGATTGTTTTCTGGTTAACAACGAAAAATCTATCCTGAAGTTACGATCTGATGATTAAATAGTAAGTTTGCGAAAAGATCGATTTAATTTTACAAAGAAGACCATCATGCCACCCATCATCAAAGTCCTGTGAGACGTCTAAGAATGTTTTTGTGCAAAATTCTTTCTTTTCCAATGCCACAACAATTGTATCAATCACTCTATTACGTTGTTGTATGGTCTAAAGCAGTGAGCAGGTCTAAAGCCAAATTAGTGATAGAACCGTTTTCATAACAATTTTTAAAATATTTTGAACTATGCAAATATTGAATACAGTCTGATAGGTCTATAAGACGTGACTTGCTCTGAAGATTTGCTTAGTTTTGGTATCATTTTTATGAAAATGTCCAGACTAGAGGAAAGTAATTAAGTCAAAGAATACAATTGTAAATAACTTTCAGGAAAATTGACTTTTTTTTTTTTGGTAGTCATACAATTTTAGGTGTGATAAGGTGAAAACCAGGAGATTTCCTGCGAGGTGATTTTTTAATACGAAATTCTATTTTTGAAGAGGTTATAGAGGTAGTAGGTAGAAAAAGAGGGAGAGGAGAATTGAGAATTATCTAGACATCTGAGCAGTTTTGTTGGTCTGGCAAATCTTCATGTGGAAGAAATACGTCTGTAAAATTTGTGGCAAATAAATCGGCTTTCTCTTTATCACTTCTAGCCTATGAGTTGTCAGGGTTGCAAAGAGGGGTCTTTGTTTGGTGGTATCCTAGTATCTTTAATGGTTGTTGCCGTAGAATATGTTACTTGTTTGTAAGTAGGTGAGATGTTTTTTGTAAGTTTCTAGTTTGTATTCCTGTATAAGCTTTCTAAGTTTGTCAGAAAGTGCGTTTAGTTGCTGTTTGTTACTTCGATAGCGATATCTTTTCTATTGGTTCAAAGTATGTCGTTTTTCTATTAGAAGTGATCTCATTTCATGGGATAAGTAATGTTTGTTGCGGCCTGTCTCGTACTTGTTTGTTGATTGCCAAGCTGCAGTATATACCGTCTTAGTGAGCGTCTCTACTGCGTTGTCAAAATCATTTTCCGGCTTTTATCTTGTGTTTAGGTCAATTTTATTATTAATAATGAAATGAAATTTATCAATCAATATTGTTGGTCTAGGAGTTAGTTTAGGTGTGTGATTGGTATTAAACATGTGTTTAGAGAGAAATAAAATTACCGCTAAATGGTCTGATGACAGGTCGTTACTAATAGACATATGACGGTATAGTGTTTGTAGGCTGGAAGTTCTAAACTGGCAAGTATGTCTGTAAACGTTTCCTGCAAAACTCATTGTCATGGACGACAGTATGCTCTGGCAATAGAAATTTTGGTGTGATCGATTTCAACCGAGATAGATGATAATTCAATTTATGGTAAGGCAGTCATTTGAAGAGGATATTGGTATGATGACTTATGTTGTTCGTTTTACGACTATTACTGAGCCACCCCGGGCCGTACCGGTGGGATGGTCAGCGCGGTACATTACATACTCTTGTATGTAAAATTTTGTGAAATGAGTTTCGGTTAGTAATGCTAGGTCAATGTCATGTTCATGTAATTTAATGTCAAGTTCGTTTCTCCGGTATTGGGCTTTATTTGAATTCTAAAGAAGGATTTTTAGAAAGTCTTGTTTGAAAGAATTGGGGACTAACATAGTAATATTTGCCGTGCACAGAGGAGTAATAAGCGGAGTTTTAAAATCATTTGGGTTGTCTTCATAACTCACTCACTATGTTGTCTTCATAATCAAGAAGGAGTTAAAATATAATGAGAGGTCTTGAGTATAAGGTTGGCGTGTATTGATGAGGTATGTAATGAGATTGGGTACAATGTGAGGTTATTCTCGTTGTTTGGCATGTTGAGGAGTTATACTTGTAGTGTGAGGAGTAGAGTATTGAGGAGATATATTTGAAGTTTGAGAATCTGTAATTTAAGAAGTTGGTTTCTAAATATCTAATGCAGCCTCTATAGGTGTCACTTTGTTTAGTTTTTAATTTTCTAACAATCGATTTGTTAGAAAACCATTCAAAATTACTTTTCTCCCAAAAGGTTTATTTAATCCAAGCATAGTCTTTGGAGATTAGTTATACATTTTATTTTAATAGGAGGAGGTTGATGAGCAACTGTTTTTTGTCAGGTTCATTTTCCATTTCGGTACAAAGAGGTCCAAACATATTACTGACTGGAATGTTAGTGATACTATTTATTGTTGATGGAATATTTGTTGCACATGAGCTCTGAATAACATTTTCTCGTACTTCAGTGTTGTTAGCATCATGTTCTAGTGTAGATTCAATTATTTATGTTGTAAAGTTATTTTTTGCAATAATTAAATTATTCCTTTCAGTATTTGTGGAGCTAGGAAGGTTATGTAAATTGACATAGGTTCGCATTTGATTAGGAATTTTTTTATGTAGTTTTTATCACAGAATTGAATTCGCTCTCTTTTTCTCATTTTTTTTTCCCTTTCCATGAAATACTTGAATTGGATCTTACCTTTCTCTTCATCCGTTTTGACGATACGGCCTGATCCATACTACTCGAGCCAGCTAACTGGTGTGCACTTATAAGTAAAGTGTCTGTTTTCATTTAAAAAAAACAAAAAAACTATACAAATTTATTGTGCCTTTAAAGAGAACACATTTTCATTATAAGATACATTACAAATACAATAATTCAATAATTTATAAGAAGAAGATTTGTTTTTAAGCAACCGCACTGTTCAAGCGAAACAGCTTATCTTCCAAATATTAAAATTAAAAAAAAAAATACTTTTCTGTCGGATTTACATCCGTATTTTTATTTTCAAAGGTGCTTGGTAGTTTTTTTAAATCTATTTATTGAATAATAATACAATCAGCCACTGCTGGAGGGCTATAAGTATTAGGGCTAAGAGTTCTCATTCATACAATATATACACATAATAGAGAAATAAATATAAATATAAAAAGTAAATAAATAATACTGATGAATAACGTAAATAAAAGAAAAAAAAAGTAAACAAATAACATAAAATAGAAATAATAACATAAAATAGAAACAATAACATAATATAGAAACAATAACATAAAATAGAAACTATAACATAAACTAGAAACGCTTGGTAGTAAATCAAAAAATGTTTAGAAACAAATAAAAGTATATTTTGAACGACAAGTCGTTAGAAGTACCTTATTGATCTTGTACTAATCGATAATATAAAATACTGCTACGATAAAAATATTGATAAAATATTTTATTCAAAGAAAAGTAATAAGAAAATACAATAATATTTATGTTTTATTAGATATTCAATTTGTCTAATAAAAGTAAAATAGATTTAATTGTACGAGCGAGCAATTTTAATGAACTTGTTACTCATTTTCATAGTGACACAATTTCAAATTTAAATTTTGAAGTTAAAACTAGAATTCATGTTTAGTAAAGAATTTACAGTGAAGGGTCAATTGAAAATCATGAATATTTTTTTATTTTCAACGATCAAAGAAAATATTTTTCACGATCAAAGAAAATATTTTTTTGGGAAAGTTTTTTTTTGGTATGAGAATTATCATAGTGTGTTGAAGCTTCGGGTATATAATAACATACGTTTTATAGTATTTGAAAACATATTTTTTAATTTAAATTACAATGTAGTTTACAAATTTTCAAAACTTCTATTTGTAATTAAAACTTTACGAATCCTCTATAATACAGCCACAGAAAAATGATGAACGACACCAAAAATCCTAAAGGTATAATGATAACTACCATTATATGAAACAACCTCCAGTGATCACAGTCGAACGGGCACTGAAAAATACAAAAAAATAAATAAAACAAGCCTATTTTTCTTTTTTTAAATGCATTCTTTTTATTTTTAAAACAATATACTTGCCAACATTAGTAATATCGTACTGTTTCACACGCTCCACAAAAGAAAGTGTAGAGGACAGTCAGTATAATATTTTTCGATTTCGTCTGAACATTTTGTTGACGAATTGAACGAAAATTCGAAATAGAGGCCGTTTTTATACCTTGAACGATTACAAGCCTTGATGATGTTCATATTGGATATTATTATTAATAATACTTTATTGAAAACTAAATTTAAAAAAATAACAATGAAAACTACAAAACATTTTACAGCATGAAACCGGTCGGCCGGAAATTTCATACACAAATATTATACAGGTACAGTAGAGAATTAATTAATAATTATTGCCAGTCCAAAATAGTATATTAAAAATACGATATCAAGAAATAACAATAATCAGTTAATAATAATAATAATAATAACTGCCAATAATATAATAATAAATATTAGGATTTTTCTCAAGATTTGATAGAAATTAAAACAGAACATAGCTGAGGTGGTTGAAGTTGGTCCTCTCCCTTTCGAGGTAACAAATCAGTTTTTGAAAGTGTTGAAAAATAAAAAAAATAATAGTAAAGCTAAACGAACCCGAAGATCCTAGGCCGATACGACCAACCGATGTCTACACTCACCCATCCACCTGGCCTAGTTCAAACCCAATTCCATCAAACCAACCTTAAAGCAATCATCCCATATTCACTCCAGTCTTTCCCTCGGACGCTTATCAGTCGGCAGGGCGCATATTAACATTTAGAATTATTTTCATTACTAAGCCCATCAATTTTATTCGTCTCAGCGTAATCACCTCAATCATATTAACCAAGTATACATCGCTCAATTCAGCTTTGTATAACTGCTTAAATTCTGCGGTCCGAATATTCTATGCAATACTTTATTTTCAAAAATCATGAGACGTTGCTTATCCTTTAATATAAGCGAGAGGTTTTGTATCCAGAAGGAGCCGAAGTAAAATAATGGTTTTATATATTCAAATTTTTAAGTTTCGGGACAACAATTGCAAGCTACGTAGTTTCATATTTTGACCTATTAGAACATGTCAAACCAAGCTATCGGGTTTTAAAAATGTTTATCTTCCTATTGTCGCATTTCGCAAATTGATGATCATTTCAGTAGCTGGAGAGTTTAAAACGTTAATTTGATTTGAAGACATTTTCAGAGATCATCGATATTTTCGAATTTCTTCTACTTCCTTCACCCATGAGTGCATTTATTTTTGACAAGAGTTTAAAAATGGCTACTTTCGTAGATTTCATTCTCAATATGCAAACTATAGACCTTGAAATATAGGTAATTATGTGATGTTAATTGGTTAGGACGCTAAGCTGATCATACTTAACTATCTTTTCTTCTTTTACTGATATTGTGTAATAATATATAGTATTTCTTTTTAACTTTCCTGAGGAAATTAACCGAATAACCTAGTACGAGTAGATAGGAACTGTAAGGAATTTTCACGTAGTTCAAAGTAACATTATCAAAATTTTTAGAAGTTATGATGTTTCATTTTTGCACTTTGCGTACGATAACAATAATAATTAAAAGAACAACACCTTGACTACTGAACAGATCTTTTTTCCATTGTTTTACCTATACCCAGAGTGCTGTATTTGCTACACCTATGCCTCAAAACAAGAAAAAAATTTCCTCTGAAAGTATGTCCACAAACGCCTTGTTGAGCGGATATTTACACCTAAAGATTTTGGTTGTTATGAATTATTTATGCTATAAGAAATAAATGAAACCTATTGATTTATTCTAACTACTTTATTAATTAAATGTAAACATTAACATTCATATAAAATGTTGTTCAAAGTTATTTCCTTGAGCATTAAACAGGTTTGGCATCTTTCTTCAACAGCTGAAGTGGTAGAACGGCACTGGATATGTATTATTGTTTCACAAGATTCAATTACTCTTCTTTGTAAGGAATTAAGATCGTTGATCGAATATGCGTAGAATTTTTATTTAGTGTCACTCCAAACAAACAAAAATCCAGTGGTGTCAGGACTGGAGAGCGTGCAGGCCAAGCCACTGATCCTGCACGGCCAATTCATTGACTGGGATATGGGATATGATTGAAAAGTTACGGTAACGACCTTAATTCCTTACGAAGAAGGATAATTGAATCTTATGAAACAATAACACATATCCAGTGCCATTCTGCCACTGCTGTTGAAGAAAGATGCCGAGCCTGTCTTAATGCACAAGAGAATCACTTTGAACAACATTTTATATGAATGTTAATGTTTACATTTATTTAATAAAGTAGTAAGAACAAATAAATAGGTTTTATTTTTTTCAGATAACGTAAATAAATCATAATAACGAAAATTTTTTGGTGTGAATACCTCCTAAACAAAGCATTTGCGGACATACCTTCCTTGGAAATTGTTTTATTGTTTTGAGGTCCTTATTTCATTTTTGTAGTTTGGCCACTTAACCTTAACACCGTGTATACACAACTGAAATGATCGTCAATTCTTGGAATGCAACAATATGAATAGAAACAGATTTAAAACCTGCTAGCTTAGTTTAACAAGATTCTAACAGATATATGTAATATGTAATGATTGAATCAACCAATTCCGATCTCAATACTTCTTTTACTAAATATTATAAAATGTTACAACAGAAAGTCAATTTTCGTTTTCAAATGATACAGTTTACTGTTTCAATTGAAAATCAGAAGAGAATCAGAATGGTAAGTGGGAAAAAACGATGGAGGTCGAAAAAGTATTTCCTGGGTGCCTAAATAAACAGAAAGGTATTTAAAAACGAACACAGACTTTCAAGAGCTGAGGTAGACTATGTGAGGCTTATGTGAGGTAGACTAGTCATAAAGACTTAACACAATTTTATGTCTTTATCAATTATTATTCTCATAAATGAGCAATTTCTCAATGAAATTTATCGTTATTCATATTTTTTTTAGAAAAACTTTTAAAAATGTGTTTTATAAATTATAAATCAGTTGGTTTCTGAAATCAAAATACATATAGATAATCTTGTGCCCCGAAAATCCCTTCGATGTGATTTCAAAGTCCAATGCCGCTGATCGTGTGGTAAACTACAATTTGCCCTGAGATGGCAAGAGGCTGGGAAGTCCTGTTTTATGTGATACAGTTGATAGAGAAGGTACACAAATTATATGTACACACTATTAACGTCCGAGAAACATTAAATAAACAATATCGCAACAATTCATTAATGTTAACTGTTCAAAAAAATACTCGTACTTTCTGCGGACAAAAAGTTGTTTGTATAATTATAATTGGTAAGACTGCAATGGGGGCAGTGTAGGACTACAGAGGGAATCTAGGACCGACGAGAAAAAAATAATAGACTGCCAATGACTGATCAATCACTTACGTCAAAAACACTGCTTGGTTGTCGAGTCAGACGATGTTCATGTTCATAGATTGGGTAGAATTTATAGATGGTGTCCAATCTAGTTGAACGTGGATGTTCTTGTTCTGGTCCTTCTGATTCACGTTGTTTGCTATTGCGGGACAACCTAACTGAACGTGGATGCCCTTTTTCTGATTCTTCGAATTCAAGTTGCTTACTATTTTGAGTCGACCTAACTGAATTCGTTTGTCCTGTTTCTGGTATATCAAGTTGTTTGCTACTACGGGTCAACCTAAGTGAATGTAGATGTCCTTGTTCTGGTTCCTCTATTTCAAGCTGTTTGCTATTATGGGTCAACATAATTGAATGTGGATGTCCTTGTTCTGGTTCCTCTATTTCAAGCTGTTTGCTATTATGGGTCAACATAATTGGATGTGGATGTCCTTGTTCTGGTTCCTCTATTTCAAGCTGTTTGCTATTATGTGTCAATATAATTGGATGTGGATGGACTTGTTCTGGTTCTTCTAATTCAAGTTGTTCGGTATTGCGGGACAGCCTATCTGAATTGCTTTGTCTTGTTTGTTGTACTTCCGGTAGCATATCCGTCTGTTCTGGTTGTTGTTCTTCTGTTTGTTGTAAATGTTTTTTTGTTTGTGATCCTTCTTGTCGTCCTTCTCCATGTTCTGGTTGTTTGTCTTTTCGATGTTGTCTTTGTTCTTGAGGTTTCTTCTTCATAATCAATTCAAAATTATACTATTTAAGATTAACAAGGATGATCTCTGAAGATTATAATTCTTGTTAATCATTATAAACAAAAAAAAAATTGAATGGTTTCCAGGGAAACATGTGTATAACATATAATATTCGCGATTATTTTTCAATCACAAAGTCCAAGATCAAAATATTATAAATTAAATTAATTAATATTTATTTTTTATCCTCAGTAATTAGGAGAACGTTACAAAAGTTATTGTATACAAAAAAAAATGTATAAAATATGATCTATTTCATTGTGAAAATATTTTAATATTGGTAACAGCGAACTAACTAAATTGTAATTTTCTTTTTTTTTAATGTTATTTACTGTTTTCAATACTTTTATGTGATAATTGAGACAGAAATGCAGTGGTGTAAGCCTTTTATGACTGGTCTTCCTTACATACCTGAAGCTCATCAATGTATAAGTTATTACTTTTTAATGGTATTTCCACTTATTTAGCCACACAGAAAATATTTGTGTCGACCTCCATCCCGTTTTAACGAACCTAAGATTCGGATCCCCCTCAGATTTTCTATAGAAACAGTGAACTGTACCCCTTGCAAATGAAAATTGACTTTCTGTTATAATATTTTGTAATAGATAGATTGAATTGTGTAATTGTAAAATTGAGATAGAAATTGGTGGATTCATCATCACATACTCGTTAACATGTTTTGAAATTATTTCCTGAAAAACTTCGATCATAGCTTCTCCTTCACCTTCAAATATTTAATATTTCAAACAGTTCATGTCTTTTTTCTATTCCATAAATAATGACATCGACATAAATGTCTATAATGATTAAAGTAGACTTGGCCATAATAGTCTAAGCTTATGAAAATTAGACGTTTGCAGACAACGCTTTTAAATAATGGCTTCTTTTCAGCTGGACTGACAAACGGATCGGAAGAAAAATTTATGTTTCATTAGGTAACGTTACTAATTTAGTAAAATAGTCATATCCTACAATGCTTGTTAAGACAATTTTCAGGATCTTCACAATGTCTTTATCAAAATTATTGAAGAGACGTTGGTTGGGGTGTTAAGCCAAAAAAAAAAAAGTAAAAATAGATAAATTATATTTATTTTTACTTTTTATTTTTGACTGGACACTCCCGAGGATATAATGGGCATAGGGAACGTTCTTACATGAATGAACGAGAGATTATTGTTTATACATGCATAAATAGTTTACTGTATTTTTAAAATAATGAGAATGACAAATAAACAAGATTTGAGGTCTTTATTTGTTTGATAAGATCTTTACTGATGCTTCAACCTATGTGAGTCTTTCAACAAAAACAGTCAAGTTCTGTCTTATGTTTAACTTTTGTCTATTTACCATGTTCTTGGACAGGTATTAACTTTATACGTCAATTAAATCTAATGGTCAACTCCCCTAAGAAGCTTACACAATGAATTATATCCACTTTTCTACTCTTAAAACATCTCTTCCCAAATTTATTCTTGCATTATCTCCTTACTTTTTATAGAAGAAATTTTTATCAGACCACAATCATGTAACTTTAGATATTTATTATAAGATTATTTAAAGACCCAGAGTTAAAACAGTATAAGTAAATTTTATGAAAAAAAAAATGTGTTAAGTGCATAGCTAATCTGAAATTTTATCAATTTACTTACATTAATAGTTTAGGGATATATATGATGTGTTCACTCAATGCTCCGTTATAGTGGCCAAACTCTTCACCTACAAACAATAGTTGTATTGGTTTAGGAGGTGAAGTGATACAAGCCAAAATAAGGAAAATTTGACCGGAAAGAATGAATAAATGTAATTTTAATTTACATGTATTTGGTGGTTCTGATTGTATTGTTTTTTATCAACATAAAATAAACTGAACTAAACCACAGTTCGGACTAATTTTTACTTTCTTTAAAAATATATATTATCGTATCTTACTGCCAATTTATATTATTATAATTATAAATTTGGTGCGCGCAACACACAACTTTCACTTACAGCTCAACTTTGAATAGAAATTATTTTCTAGCCATGTCGGGCTATTATAAAATTTTTGAATTGCATTTTTAACTGAGCTAAAGCTAAAAGATTGCAGCTGACAAATTATAAATACTATTAAAATAGCAAAAGTTCTATTTATTATAACACCGGTTGAGTATGCATTGTACGATTAGTTGTTTATGGATTGTTCGATCCGTTGATTATGGATTATACGACTATTAGTTATTAAACTATTATTTTCCATTGCAAAGTTTACGATCACTGAATAAAGAGATTTGCATTGTCTGTCATATACAGGTCAAAAGTTGTCACACTGATTGTAATTGGATTCTGTTGGAATATCGCAAAGGGAAAATTTATCAAATTATTCCCTAATTTAATGTTCTAAAAGTTACATAATGATTTTTCGGAATAAACGGACGATAGATACCTAATCATTTAAATATAATGCCAGATCTAGTGTTATTAAACTACAGTAAACATATTTAAGGTTATTTACTTATCCATGAAATATTTTTATATTTCACTTCTTCTTTCACACAAGTACAATGAAATAGTATCTTGAACAATTTCGTTGCCTGGAATCCGTCGGTTATACTTTTTCAAACTTTAAAAAAAAAATTAAAAGTTTGCATGTAGTAAGAAAATTTCATTTAATTTTCTTAAAAAAACATGTTATTATTTCCGTAGAAAACTCAAAAATTTTCAGGATTGCAATATTGACACTTACTGCAAATTACATATATAGGTAAGTGAAAATAAAAATGTAACCTCCTGCATTGCTATCCTCATCTCTTACTTTAATGACACATATGTATTCTTGAAATAATAACCCAGAGGAGAATTCTAATTTTTCCTTACAAATATTTCCTTGGGCTGTAAACCCACAAAATCTTGTGCTACAATACTTTTTAACTATATTTCACTAATACCTATCGAACAGATCCATTACCAACGACTACATCTTGACAAACTTAATACCTAGAACTCTCACATAACATGAAAACGCCAAGAAACTGTTTGTATATGTCGAATACTATAGCACTTACTCTACTATCATTCAAAACTCCACGTTACCATTATTATGCCTAATTAGGCCAACGGGATTGAGCTTAAAGGCTCACGAAAATCCTCAAATTCCTCCTAACACACACTGACTCATCAATCCTTAACCTTTCGGTGAAATACTATAATATCAAACAGAGTTGGGCGAAAACCATCCGATTGACAAACGATGAATAAATTTTAATTCATAAAAAAATATAATAAAATTCATGACTGATGAATTTTTTTTTTATTCGTTACTCACGACTAACAAATTGAATAATTGAAAAAAAAATAATAATCTATCAACAAACTTTTTAAAACGACTGACGACTTTCTTTATTATTCAATTATTTATTGATAAATATTATCTTTCATATCTAAGAACAATAGTAATAGTGACAAAAGAGTAGCTCATTCACACTATGTACAACTAATAAAAATAAATAAACAGCAAAATAATAATACTAAAAGTAAATGTATATAAACAAAAAGAAACTAAACTAAACAAAAGAGACTTAACTAATTAAAATAACTACTTAAAACACTCATGCTTTTATACCATATTTAAAAAAGGGTAAAACCCTTGTTTTTTCCGTAGGAGTTTTAATTATTTCTAATTATTTTAAATTTATTTATTAATATAATTAATATCTATTTAATGATACCATTTGGTTCGATAAAACATTTCAATGAATTCACCCAAGACCTCCCCCGACGTCAATAACTTTCGCCTATTCGAATCATCGTATTAAAATAATAGAAATTATTTTAATTTTATTAAAGGTTATATTATCAGGAAGAATACGTAAACAATTTATGTATATACATATATATATATATGTATATATATATATATTTATGTATATATATATATATATATATATTTATGTATATATATATATATATATATATATATATATATATATATATATATATATATATATATATATATATATATATATATATATATATATATAAGTCAAGGTCGGTGTGAGATAGATAAACTTCTGAGATTTAATATTATTTCTTTCAATTAAAAATAAACACATGTTATAAATATACTGTTATATAACCTTCTGTGATATAGACTCTACTTTTTGTAAAATAAAAACTTATTGAAAATTAATCTATTTCCAGTTGTTTGTTTCGTCATTTTTTCTATTTATTAAAGCCAATAGTTAACTTATATGTATGTAAATATATATATATATATATATATATATATATATATATATATATATATATATATATATATATATATGAAATGGATCAAATATTCAAAAAATAATTATAAAAATCATAAACCGTCGTAGAATTGAACCCAAACTTATTTACTTGGTTATAAATCTAAATATGATTTGAATTATAGAATAGTTAATGACCAGTCAGGATAAAAACCCCAAATCATAGTAAATTAAAAAGTGTATGTATTTTATTGCTTTATTAGACTGCTTTTATTGTTTTTTTAGTTTGCTGAGGGAAACTCAGCAGGTATTTATTCTAAGAGAATTATAATAAAAACGGCAGATCGTTAAGATCTAGAAATTTTGTATATTTTTAAAATAAAGGCCATTTCAATAACATAAGTTTGGAAAAAGTTGCGCATCCCTCACCCGATCGATCACATTGTAAAAGTCATTGATTTATTGGTCTCGTTGTTAATCGTTATTGTCATTTTAGTGATTTTAAACTATTTTTCATGATAATAGGACCTATTTCAAGATGATGAAAACGTAAAACCAAGTAAATGGTTAAAGCTAAATAAATGGTTCGACAGCAGTAGTGGAAACTGTTTACATTCATAAATAAAGGCAATGACAACTGTAAATGTTAGGATAATTCTTTATTCGACTAATTTTGTATTCGAAGAATTATTTCGAATAATAAACGAGTAAAAATTTATTCGGATTTCAATTTGGATAAAATTTCAATCGAAGATTTAATACAATTTTAAATTGAATATCCCTTAAGTTATTAATGTGGGTTTCCATCGATACAATTTTCTGTCTAAATAGAAAAGGAAATTATATTGTTTTAATGTAAACATTTGCAACAGATTGTCTTGTATGTTGTACTGTTCATAAATGAAAAAGTAATTAAACACTAAAATATTTGTTACGAAATAAATATAAAGCTTATATGATAAGTGGCACAAGTTCTCATGATAACACATAAATAGAATTCCGAGAATGAGCGAGCATCCCTGAAGTGACCGAATCGTCTGGTAAGACCTTGAACTTTACTGAAAAGGGCCCGTTAGAGATTTGTTTATTCCTTCAGAACTAGCTTAGCAAGCGGGAGTCTTATTAATTATGTGAAGACAATTAACGCCCCGATTTTAACTGAAAAAAAAAAACGGAGTTTGCCCAAGTAGTGTATCGTGATCTAAATAAATACTGGGAACACGTCAATCTACCGCTGTTCTCGGAAGCAGATGTATACCATGATCATGAGATCTTGGCCCACTCTTCAAATCGAAGAGACGCTTGTATAGTGGTACCCTTATTTTTTTTTTTAATTAGTATTATTAAAGAAAAACGCATAGTTTAGAATAACCATCAGGATAAACATCGCCAGTGCTGGCGTTAGACATTCGGCGCCCCCGGGCAATATTATCTCTCCACTCCACCACCCAAAAAAAAAATTATTTCTTAAGCTATTTTAAATTATATAATATTAGAATTTTATTTCTTTCAGCATTCCTCTGGTACGGCTGCTTTATTGATAGACTAAAATTAATTACTTGAATACGTTTTGTATTTTTTATTAATTTCTAACAATTGGCAAGCGCCCCTGAGGAAATATAATGCCGGCATTGACTATCACCATATATCCATCATTATGACTAACAGTACTCACTTCAAAAATACTGCTTGGCTCTCGAGTAGCACGTCTTACGTAATCATAAAATGGCTCAGACCTCAAAAGATCGATGCCGTTGACAATATGGGATAGTCTAAGCGATTCTCTAATCTTCTCCATTGTTAAATCAAAAGGAAAAACTAATTTTATTTTTGGTTACAAATATACTATGGCCGTGTTGAATAAATCATACAATTAACTTGGATAACCCATTGAAGGTTATTAAAGAGCAAAAAAAAAATAAGAGTTCTGTTTAAGAAGAGTTTTAACTCTCAACAAATTATTAGGCGCAAGCGCAGTACGGTTTTGAGTCCTAAAACCTGTACTACTCCCGCATGCGCCTAGAACGGAAAAACAGTGCTGTGGATGCCTTTGAATGATCATAGCCAAAATTCAAGTTGGAGCAGACATAATATTAAACAATATATTGTTGAATAGTGCAGTAACTCTTCCATAGTTGAACTAGAATTAATTTTGTTTAATTAATTGAATACAATAATTAAACATATTTATAGTTATATATTTATAAAATATATTTTGATGTGTTTCACCGTCATATACCTACGTTACATAAACATTTTTCTTTATAGTAAAATCACGATAACAAACGTTAATGAAATAAAGATGTGGAACTACTATAACACATGTTTAACATATGATATTAATTTTACATAGTTGAAGCGTTCAGTCGTAAAGGTGTGTTTAGACATCGGGAATTATGGAAGACAAAAATATTTAAATAGTTTCCTCTATTCTAGTGTTTATTTTTTCTTGTTATTAATATTTTCCGTATCCTGTCGGTAAATTGAGAGAAATTAAGAAAATTTGGGCTTAGCTAAGTTAAAGTCTATTAAGACTTGCCTAAAGTCTACTAGTTAAGTTAGATAATTGTGGATTCCATAGTTTGTGAAACGTCTAAACGCACAGGAAACATTTATACTGCTTAATTGTTTAAAACTGAAATATTTTCCCGTAGTTATGGTATAAAATTAAATAAATCACATCCCTGACATCATTCTTAGCTATTGGGATTATTTATAGTTATACACAAACATGCTTGCAGAAGTATGCTTTAGCTTCAACATTGTCTAATAAAATGTTTTATACGCGTACTTGTTTATTTGAAAGTATACTACTGAGTTTATTCGAACGTAAATCGTAACAACATACAAAATATTAATAGCGTTTAGAACAAAGTCACCAGTCTAAATTACAGCTGTTTAAAAAAAAATGTATAATGCTAAACAGCATGTGTGCATTTTTATATATAGAATCATCTGTTTTGGGTGCTTTCACCAGAAAACTACTGAACCGAATTAAACATTTTTTTTTTTTTTTGCCAAATAATGAAAAGAATTTAATCAATACCAACCAGTCATACATAAACTATAAACAAAATAATGGCATCCTGATTGTCTATTCGTCTTTCAAAAATTAAATAAAAGAAAAATAACTTTTAAAAACTATTTAGATTATTACATAGAATATTGTAGCTAATGAAATTTTACCAACTAAATTATGAACTTAGTCTTTAATTTGATGCAATTGATAGTCTTTAATTTGATGCAATTGATTTATTATTTAGTTATTGAATTATTATTTAGTTAGAGTATCCTGGATTCGTAGCTAAGCCACGGATAGAAAGAAAACATTTGCATTTTAGCTTTATTTATTCCATATACCACAGAGGAGGAACACGCATCCTCAAGGCCGCGTGTGGCCTCCGTTTGTATTTGCGCTGTATTCATTAATCATAACATAGAATTAATTAATATTTAATTAATCAGATCACGGAAATATGAAAACTAATTGAATTAAGTTGAATATATATGTGCCTCGGAGGTAAAGAACACCATATCCATTTTTTTTTTTACTGTATAATCTTATTCATCCAGTTGCCATAAAATTGTATGTAGATATTACCGTAAATATGTATATAAATTATTACTTCGTTCTTAATTATTTTTACTTTATATTTTCCTTCTTTTTTTTTTTTTTTTTATTATTAACTGATTAAAGTAAGAAAGTAACCTATATTTTTGTTTCATAATTGGTAAATGGTTGACTGTCGTGGATAATGAAGAGAAGAATAGTTGGGGTGGTCAGTCAAAAAATAAGGCAAAAATAAATGATAATATTTATTTTTACATATGTCGACGTTTCGACCTTCAGGCCTTCTTCAGGGCTAAGAAAATAACCAGATAACAAGGTATGAGAAACATAAGTAGTGATAGTAAAAAATAAATAAAAAATAAAGAAAAAAAAAATAAAATAAAGTAAAATGAAATTGATAGAATAATGACAATAGTAAGAACTAAGAGATAAATAATAATAACCGTTACAAAGTGTGGAATGCTTACTTCATCATACCACACTTTGTAACGGTTATTATTATTTATCTCTTAGTTCTTTCTATTGTTATTATTCTAACAATTTCATTTTGCTTTATTTTTTATTTTATTTTTTTTTTTTTACCATCACTACTTATGTTTCTCATACCTTGTTATCTGGTTATTTTCTTAGTCCTGATGAAGGCCTGAGCTTCAGGTCGAAACGACGGCATATGTAAAAATAAATATTATCATTTATTTTTGCCTTATTTTTTGACTGACCACCCCAACTATTCTTCTCTTCATTATACTTTTGTTTATTATGACTATTTAATTGATTTTGTTTATTTATCTCTGAAGCCCCTTAGCCCACATTTCTGTCTTTCTGTATTATTCTAAAAGGATTTATCTCAGAATAAATAAAGTATTCTTATTATTTTAATTTAGCAACTAAAAAACAAATTTTAAATGCTCAAAATTACGGAAAATTGTCTCCTTGATGCCCTTTATCTCAGAAATGCAGATTTAGTAACTAAAACAAAAACTTTAATAACTCAAAGTGATGGAACATTGGCTTCCCTATATATACTATTCAAACATATATGCAAAAATGGACATGGAGTTCTTTGCCCCCGGGGGACATATATATATCTATATTTAGAAATAAATAAAAATAGCAAAAATAAAATTTAAAAAAAATTGCGGCTTCCATTATCACTGCTTAACCTCACTGCGGCCTCTAATAACAAAAAGATACTCCAACAAAAACGAATAAAGCAGGTTTTCCGATGTGAGAGCGGGTCATATAATTGTCTATGTGATAAGCATAGCTTTTCAAAATTTAGTCCAATTTTTTTTTTTTTTTACAATAAATTCTATCTTAAATCATAATACTGAATGATTTAAATCTATGTTATAATACCAATAAATATTTCCAACAAGTAGATTCAGATTATACGGAAGGTTATTATGGTTACCTCATTAATATTAGTAACAGTGGCTTGGAGAGTTGTGTCCCAGGAAGTCGTATTATTGTACGACCACAACTATAATTAATTTGTCTATTTCATGTAAATGAACCTACCTTAATTCATTTTCCCCGCTACCTGAATGAAATTATTAATGGTCCTAAAGTTGAGGTAAAAACAATATAAAAGACAAGATATGTTCAAAGAGGTTGACTATCTGGAATATTAAATAATAATTAGAAATTATCATCTACTGCAGGGCACTATCTATAGGCCTACAAGAACATGGGACTCTTCTAGGTCTCCAAGCCTTAATTTGCACGTTTCCTTCATCTCCATACTCCTAGCAACTTGAGGTCCTCCTCGGCGTCTTCCAACCATCTCATTCTTGGTCTTCCTCTATGTCGTTTTCTTCCAAGTTTTCCATACAACAGGCAACTTAGCAACCTAGATTTTGGCATCCTTTCTATACGACCAAGCCATCTTATGCAGACTTTCAAAAAGGATACCAGTTACCAGATACCTGGTTTCCCATAAATTGCACCCCATACACTCCTTCTTAATCGTCAAGTGCCATTTTCTCCTATTTGCTTAAGGGCCTTCCTAAGGACTTTCCTTTCCCAAATATTCGTTCCTTTTCACTTTAATTTGTCAATACTGCAACAAGTAACCGTGTGTCACAGAATATTTTACTATATCAGGAGTTTTGCTGTTTTTGGAAGAGCTTAAACATTACTATTTTTGTAGGCCATAAAGACACTTGTTATCTGTAGACCGTCTCGCGTTCACTTCTTCGTCCATTATGTCGGCATATGTTACATAACAGATCCAAGAGATTAAAAAGTAGCATTACTTTTAAAACTGCGTTCGCTGATCTACAAATCGTGGTGTTCCAGATTTCGTATCCTGGAAGTTATTAAATATTGTTTTTAAATTAGATTCTATTGAAAAGTGTCGCCTTAAGCGGACACTTGAATATGTTTCGATTCCAAAAGGGTCATAACTCAATTTATGAAGAGATGCTAAAATAAATTATTGAGATATGCAGATTTTTAATTCTATACCAACAATTCTGTATGTAATGAAAATTGAAAGTAAATTGGAACGATCTGAAAAAACATTATTATAAATCTTAATTTATAATTTTAAAAACATGTTTACAGTTATTTGGATTGGTATTGGCAACTATCTTTATGAATAATTATACTGAATTGTTGTTTAGACATATTCTACAATTTCAGTCGCTTTTTTCTTATTCTTTAACGGAGTTCAGCAATAACCTGAATTTAGTAATGTTGATTAAATGGCTAAAATCTAGAAATTTATCTCGGGATCAAGTAATAGATTTAATAAATGAAAGCGATTGGATAGCATTGGTAAATTACTGCAAGCCTGCTTTCTCCTATAGATTAATGCTCACCAGAGAATTTAACAATTAATAAATTTAGTATCAGAGGAGAATTTTAGTACCACTTTTACATCGTATATAACTTTTACATCGTAAATATAATGTTCTTATTAATTATTTGTATATAAATAAATTGAAATATAATTTTTTTTTTTAAAAACACAGACTCCTCTGGCGGTCAATAGACCATGTAGCAGGTCTGATTTTCGGTTTTAAATCCAAAAATATTATTTTGTAATTCATATTATGTAATTTTGATTAATAAAAATAATTTTTCTTCTTGTTCTAGTAATGTTGATCAATAGTTTAAAAAGCTGTATGAAACTTAAAAGAAAAGAAAAGAAGCGTCGGTCTCGTTACTTTATAGCCTCACCTCGTACATACACACATAAAGTAACCAGATGATTAGGACTACCTACCGACCTTATAAATAAATGTCAAAAATCCCCAATATCTGTATATTATATTCATAATTTTTGTAGTTTTTAATGCTTCTGATTTCCCATAAACAT